AGCTTAATTGTTCTAAAATTTTATATACCGTTCACGGCCTTGACGATCCGAAGGCATCGAAGTCTTCCTCAAGGACTGTCTCCGATCCGTCGAACAGAATCCAGTTTGGATCCCAACAAAGCCCAAAACTTTATGCCTCTTCGTCCCATTATCATTATCTCCACCAACTCCATGTTTATTCCCATACCTGGTTCTGTCCCAAAGAACCAGGACGGATCTCGGGTCGGAGCTTCGACAACGTTAACCTGACCCACCGGAGGAAAGGGCGAAGAGGAAAGAGACGATGATGAAGGTGAAGTGGGCGAAGAAGATCAGGATCGTTGATCTGGTGGGGCAAGTGGCTGACGGTGAAGTGCCCGCATGAAAGAATTTGGGAGATGATGGCATAACTGTGATTTTGTTGCCCGCCGTGGGAACAAGCTTTAGTGATAGATTTGAATGGGCACCCTTGAGAAAAAGACTTGTAGCCCATTCAGCAGAAAGACGGTATAAGTCTTTGCATAATTTACTAAGGCAAATACATCATATGACAAAAAATATATGATGAATAATGGCAAGCTTCTAAGAGGAGATTAATTCAACTAAAATTTTAATCGTAGATTGATTCAATTGAAGAAATCGTCATCTCAATATATAAGTGATTTTCTATTAAAGATTTTAACTACAAATAGACTCAATTGATAAAATCGTGGATTCAAAGTTTATTTCTTTTTCGACCTTGGATTCCTAGAGAATTTAATTCATCATGGGTTTTTGCCTTAGTTTCTTTCTTTTTTTACCTTGGGTCCTAGAGTGTTTCAAGTTTTTAAAATATTACTTCTTTGCTGCTGCTTTTCCAATGGCATTCAAGCCCAGTCTAATAGAGAAAAACTAGGATTAGATGAAGCAGCTGGAGTTTGAACCTTTGCTAAAACTGTGGCCAAAACTGAAAAGAGAGAAATAAAAAGCATGAGAGATTTCCCAAATTTATTTTTTTTATTGCTGCTAAACATCCAACTCTCGGTCTTTCTGCAGCTATTCCTCTACAGAATCCTGTGTCTCATTACAAATACAATAGGTCTTAACACTAGAACCTAATGCCGAATCCGGCTCTTTACAGGACACCTTTGGAAATTGTTCCTGCAAACTACTTTGTTGTACGTGGTCATCCATTTCAGCGTTATGATTATCTAGACGAAGACAATCTGATTGCTGCAGGGACTCCACTTTTGTTACACTGTCAGCTTCATCGTCACCACAGCAATCGTCAAATTGGGATGCAGAGTTAATTTCTGCAACAGGACATTCTTGAGAAGTTGTCCCGATTCTAAGCCCGTCTTCCAGCTCAGTCCTAACTTCTTTGGAGCAACAATTACGGTCAGATCACTGTAAGATTCATCTAACGACTGTCCCTTCGTACAGATACCTAATCGGTGATTTCCATTGTACCATCGTTTTCCAATTCTTGCATATTTTTGTCTCCTTCAAGCTCAGTTTGCATTTTTGCACAGGCTTCATTTGCATAGCAATTATTATCAAACGGCTGTAATGACTTGGCAGATTGATCTCCTACAGAATGAATGCCTTTATCAGTTGATTCTTGTCTGAAATGTTCAGTTGAATTAGCTTGTTACAAAGATAATATATCACCTGCTCCTGTATAACAACGGAGATCAAATTTGTTTCTCCCGAACTTAGAAGAATAATGAACTTTAAGGGGGGATGAAGATACCTGATTGTCCATTTGATTCTTGAAATTTATAACGTCTTTTTAAGCAATATCGCTCCAGTGTCCAAGGTTCAAGTCCTGGCAATATCAAGTATCAACAAAAAAAATTTGCAAATCTGTACATCCATACATGTCAAATCTCTATTGGCATTATCATGAAAATTCAACAAGACAAAATTAATCTACACCAATCAAGCGTGCACAAAGATCTCGGACTGACCACCTCCAAAATGAAAACTAGCAAAACAGATTTGAAATTGATAAAATGTTATATGTAGCAAATTCATATCCCAATATTGAACACAACAAAGATAAATATTTTCAAGTAGCTTTGTATTGGTGAAATCAAGCTAAAACAGTTCTTGTGATGGTTGAGTTTCTTTCGAAATAAGTAAGTTTCAGTCAAGACAATACTCTCAATTGGATTTTGAAGATTACTGCTTTTAATTTAAAACCAAAACTACCAACCCCTAGTCGGTTTCTTTCTCTTCTTATTTCTCTCAAAATTTGCAAATATTCATCAGTTTGCAATCACAAGAAAATGCAAATTATACCCCTAAGTCGATTAATTACTCCATTTACAGCATGATGATTGTAACTTATTATCATCTAACTGTTGGGATTCTAGTATTTTAGGAATGGTTTTCTACGTATAGTTGTTTTCGATACTCCATACCTGAATGATTTTTGTAATGAGAAGTGTATACAATACTTTGTAATTACGGTTTGTTTATTTCCTCTGCATCTTGTATACAGTGAGGAGGACTAAGGAAATAGACCAGTGCTGACAGGCTGTCTATTGAACTCCTTAGCAACAGCTATACACAAAATTATGTCCTTCATATGTCTCAGCACAGTTCCTCTTCCAGTCATCCACCTCAACCTCTAATTGTAAGATCCTTGCATCTATGATCTGGAGCAGTAGGCATCCTATCAGACCAAAGTAAGCTCGGGCAATTTTCTTCAAATGTTCCTTCGCAAATCTCACATCGAAATTAACGCGTAGTACATCCGTTATTGTGTTCCACCACGTAAATATTTTCTTGTCAGTAACTTGCTCAAGTTGTAGATTATCCATCTCTTTGATAGTAGGTCCCAGCAGCCTGGATTTATTAGACTTGTTGCTGAAACATCACCAAATACATCACTGATTCTCTCAACAGTAGGAATTAGAGACACTGGGAAACTGTATCTCCCAGCTGTTGTACACCATTAAAAAAAGACCCTTGAAGTTTTAATGTACCTGTAATGCCACCAAAGAGACTTAGAGACATATATATACCACATATATGTTTTTTTCCCTATTTTTTTACTGAGGATGTGTGGTATAAATTTCTGATAATTGGTTTAGTCACTTTCTTGAGGTGAAAAAAGCTAGGAAACAAATGCCTTTTGCACCCATTATATTAGTCGAAATGAACTGTTAATGAGGAAAAAAATAGTAGAGAGCATAAAACTTACAACTAAATGTCACATGCTATCAGATTCACATGTTGCTAAGAATTAAGAACATCCAGCAGCATCTCTATCTTCTAAAGAATCAAATCTTCCTATTACAATCGATTATGCTATCTGTCAGAATCTGCCTCTCAATCTGTGAATTTGATGACTTTGTGACAAGTCCCTTTTAACTTTCCCTGCTATTAACTATCTTCTTTCTCATTAACCACGTCAAGCAAAAGGAAATGACAGAATCCATCAAAAATGTTTTCAATGCTACAAATCTTTTGCTTCAAGCGGTGATGGCAGATATTGGATTTAAAGCTAGAAAGACTGCAAAAAAACATAAGGATAAGCATGGCACATAAACAATAGAGCCTCAATTTGTCATTGACATCTTTAAGTTTGTGAGAATGATCTTCTTCATTGAGAGGTTTACAAAAGGCCTCTTGAAACATGCAGTATTAGCTTCATGATCACCATAATAGAGCCTTGATTTGTCATAGCCATTTAAGTTCTCCAATATTTTCATTTGGAGATAGCATTAACCTCATATAAAAACTTCACTAGGAAAAACGAGTAAAAATAATTGAGAGAAAGTTAGACATTTCTATTTCATTACCTCTTGGTTTAGCGGATACTTCACATCACTATGTCTTTTGTTTTCTTTTTTCCGAGCCCCATTCAGTTTATCTCTACGACCTCTTGCTGTTCGTTGATATGAAGCTTCTGATAGTTCCCCTTGACTCAAATGGTGCAAACTGCTGAAAGTTCCTTGGATCAGCATGTATAATTTGGTCATACAGTCCCATTTGTGAGGATAAATAGGAACTTGTAGCTTGTGATGTAGTATCCACCATATTCCCGATGCCAAATTTGTCTTTGCAGTTTGCAGATTGACAGATTCTAGTTGATCTGGACAATTAAATGATATAATAAATATTAACCACAAAGATGTGAATAATTAAATCATAGGTTATGAATCATAATACAAATGATAAGGAAAACATTCCACTCGAACTTAATGGGGTACGAATTCATATAAAATCTTGCTTGAAGAACATAAAAAGCAGATTAGTCAACTTTACCCAAAACAGAGGGAAAGGGAAACAAACACATAGATTGAGCCTTCAACCAAGAATCTTCAATGAATCCTGGATGAAGAATTGACAAATCACAACTAAAAATAAGAGCTGAACATTTCACTTGGCTTAGATCATTGATAGGACGAGGCAAATACAATCTGGGAAATTTTAAGTATTGTCTAAACTTATTCATAACTGTTGCGAACATGTCTTTTACATCTTGCAAGAAATCAATTTTGTATATATTGGTCAGTTGGTTAACCTATCCTGCCCCTAACCTTTCACAACCTACTGACGACAGTAACCTTATTACTTGTCCATAAGGGACTGGTTGGCCTGAGAATTTAGCCTCAAGATATCGAAGGCAACAACAATAGGACCTTTAATCCACGGAATCTAAACAAATGTTAGACATTCCAATATTTATAGTGTAAGCAAATTAATTATTTACTAAATTTCAATAATCAAATTAAGTAAATATCCATACCTTGTTCTTAGCTTGGCACTGCAATTGCTTTAACTCATTTTCTAAAGCTGAATTATTCAGAAATTTTAATTGCCGAAAATACTATACAACAACATTTTCAGGCAAATGAAATTGAAATATGAACCTTAAAACTTATTTTGATATGTAAATATTTTACTTAACTAGAGGGAAGAAGGGGAAATCTTTCTACAAGCAGAAGTACAGCTAATCATCAGTAAAGATAAAAACAACTTACAACATAAAAGACACAACCAAGTAAATAGACATCACCAATCTGACAAATAAGAAAGTAACTAAATCTCTCAATGCTGATATAAACTGGAATTGACTGCACAGTCGGCTGCTTGGTTTTTGCATCTGAATCTCGGTTTTGGTTTGCAATGAAACTTTGAATTGCAAAGAACAGTGAATGCAGCTGCAAGAACCCAATGCTTGAGAGCAATTGAGAGAGTAAAGAGGGAAAATTAATTTCTTGCATGCATTTTCTATTTATTTTAACAGTTATAAGAATTTTATAGCACAAGATTGAAGAGATGGGTATAGGGTCTTATAATTATGCACTTGGGTTTATAGCACAGGAATGAAGAGATAAATTTTGTCTAAATCTAATAACAAAACATGGCAAATCATCGCTGAACTGAATAGAAAATGGAGAGTGAAGTAATAATGACAAGCTAACACATTTCATACCATATTAAGCTTGCTCAATGCTGATTAGAAACTTATGTTTGATTTTCTTGAGCATAGCCACGACATCCGCCATATTGTTTCTATCCTCAGGTAACTCAGCTGAACATTTCAAAGCTAACTCCATGATAGATAATATACAATTTGCTTTAATAATGAAATATTTGTCCTCTCTTTTTAATAAATTGGCATCTGCAATATCAATCATTCCTTTAGATAAGGATCTTTTCATCCAATGCCTCATAGTCATTGTTTCACAAAAAATTTCATCCGTTGGCTTCTTATTTGTGAAAGTTTCTATTAAAAGAAACCCGTAACTATAGATGTCACATTTTATGAAAACAACTCCGGCTGATCCAAATTCTGCATTTCAAGCATAATCGAAATTATTATTGATCATTAATTAATTCTAAGATGATTGTCTAACTATATCAAACTATATCATATAAAATCCTGAATATGAAAAAATTGTAAAGAAAAAAAATAGAGAAAATAACCATAAGTATTCTAAAGATCACCTGGTGCCATATAGCCAATAGTTGCAAGTGTCATAGTTTGTCTCATGAAATCATCTTCTTCCAATAGTTTGGCAATACCAAAATCTCCCATATGCGCCACGATGTCTTCATGTAGTAGAATATTACTTGGCTTTAGGTCACAATGGATTATAGGAGTTGGTTGTCCAGCATGATGGTATTCTAGAGCTGATGCAACATCTATCATTATATTGATCCTTTGTAAGATATCAAGAAAATAGTGTTCAGAATGTAACCATTTTTCAAGACTTCCATTAGGCATGAAATCAAACACCAAGGCTTTGAAGTCCACATTGGAGCAGCAAGTAATGACCTTGACAAGATTGCATGGACTAGATTACGCATAACTTCACATTCAGTGTCGAAACTCCTAAATGCTCCCTCTATCTGCAAATTGAAAACTTTTATTGCAACATTCATCCCTTCTGAAAGCCTCCCTTTATATACAGATCCAAAACTCCCTGAACCAAGAAAGTTGCATTCTCCAAATCCATCAGTTGCTTGTGAAAGTTCAGCATATGAAATTCTTCTCCATGTTTTCAAAGATAACAAATCTTCCTTAACAGGTATAGTCATACTCCTACTTTGGCGTTTTCTGTATATAATAGTAAAAACTATTATTACTACAATAGTTGCAATTGTTAGTAAACCATACCTTAAAACACGCAATGTTTTAAATTTTGAAAAATAGTAAATGAGATAATATTTCACTTGTAGAGTTCAATTCTTGAATTTAAAGTTTGCTTAATTATTTTATACAATCAACTTTAAAAAGTAGTATTTAAAAATTTTATAATTCAAATCTCAGTATTTATAATTTTTTTTTATTTATAGTCTCCTTTATATAAAAAAGAAAATTTTTAAAACCTGGAAATTAATGTTTGAAATGAAATGAACCAAGTTAAATGGACTTTCATTCGGCGACCAAATTAGTAAAGATTAATAATAGTGCCAAAACATATATGGAACTTAATTATTTATTGTTAGAATTGGTTTGCTGCTGAACCGTCAGATTAAGACTCATAAAAAATCATTTCAATTTCAACCATTGGATGGTATATCGTGCAACAAGCCCCACCTCGTTATTTTAGTTTAACTATTGAGTTTTTACTCTTTAATCCATTTCCATCTCAACCGTGGTTAATTTGGATGTTCTACTTATGAGCATAGAGCTCACATTTCATAATTTTAAAAAAGTTAATCCCTTGTTTCAGTGATTAATCCATGATTTTTTGAAAACAAATGCATTCAAGAATATTAGAAACAATTATCATACCCCTTAACAGTTTCTTCTACATCAGAGTGATAGTCTCGGGGAACCTGCAAATTAATTAAAAACATATTTGTGATTACTTAAAAGGAGAAATGAATTATTGTTGTTGATGGCTTTAGTAATAAGATTGTATACTTTTTTTATATTGACTTTATGTGTTTAAAATTTTATTTTTAACATATTTTTCGTATGAAATCAAAATATTAACAAGAAAATGAGACTCCATCTTCAGCAGTGGAATTAACTTATGTGGATGGTTTTTAGTCATCTACACTAAGTCAAATTAAAAAAAAAATCTAGAAACATATTATTAGTGTGATGAGGATATTTTGAAAATTAATAGCATGTTTGATATACAAGATTATGAATAGGATAAGATAAAATGATATTATGAATAGAATTAGATTAAATAATATCATCTTACTTTATATTTGATTTATGCAATGATTAAAATAAAATATTTTTATTTATTGGTCAAATTTATATTTTTTCAAAGTTTATATAATTTAAATTATTGAAATAATTTTTAAGAATATAATAGAAAATGTAAGTTTAATTCATTGGAATAAAAATAATTTTTTTTATTTTGAGAGAATTGAATCATCCTAAATCAAATATAAGATAAGATAATTATTATTTTATTCTATTTATTATCCTATGCACCAAATATTATCTAAAAAAATTTTGGACAATTATCATATGATATTGATAACACTAGTCTTTTATAACGACGATACAAAGTCCTTTTTTTTTTTCAAACACTTCAAATTTTTTTGGGGTTTATACTTTATTTTGATTATTGACTCACTTTTCCACAATTGATTTGGAAAGGCTACCCCATCAATTCGATTGATTGAAAATTAAATGTACTTTAAGTAAGGGATTTACACAGGGTTTCTTCCCACTTCTTTCATACCACATAATTGAATTTCAATGAATTTTCTTTTGTCCTTTTCACCTTTTGTCGCTTGAAGTTGATGTTGGAGAGTTTATTTGTTTATTAATTATTGAAAATTTAAAGTTAAATTTATTCATAACTAAATTTTGACTATGAAATTGGAGCGAAACATGCCTAAAGTAAAATACAATTATTTCTAATTACAAAATTATGCACTTTTATTTTGTATTTATCCAGCTACATCCTTATTCATTCATTGATTTTTTTTTTGTTAAATCATAAATCCCAAATTTTTATCATGATTTTTTAAAAATTTTATAAGACTATTATTACTATCATAATAAAAAAAACTTACATGAAGTTTTTTAGTGAAATTTGTGGAATTCTTTCTTAAAAATGATTTAATAAAAATTTTAATAAAAAATCCAAATTGATAGATTGATAGAGTTTAATTTGAAAATTAATAATATGTAAAAAATTATTAAAAATATTACTTATAATTTAAATTTGATTGATACTTATTTAGCAGTAAAAATTCTATCAATATTTTTATTAGAAATATCTATCTAAAAAATATATCAAATTTTAGTAAATTTTTTTCAAATTTTGTACATTTGATCTATATAATGAGACTTTTTAATCTATCAATTTTGCTTTTTGATTTTAGTTTTTATTTAACCATTTCTAATAAAACATTTCATGAACTTCACTTAAAAAACTTCATTTCAAATCTTTCCTCAATACAATAGCAATCGTTGGTAAGCCGTACCTTAAAACACATAATATGCTGATCTTGGAATTTCCGTGATACTACTCTTGCAACATGGGACTAACAATTTAGATGGACCACAAGGTGCATAAATTAAAATAAAATAGTGATGTGATGATTTATGATGCACTGATGATATATAGTATTTAAATACTAACAATACATCTAATATAAATCCTTTCACATGAAAAGTTTCCAAAACAAATTCTTGTAATGATAAGCTTCTATTTTGTTTCCTTGTACAGTTGGGTTTCATCTCATTTGCAATATGGCAGAAACTGATGCCTCCAGAGCTGTTAATGGTACCAAGTCTCTGATTGGAATTTCAGTAAACAAAAGTGTGTATTTTAGCAGTGAATCTGGTCAATTTCAGGCTTCATAAGTTTATCCTTATCTGATATTGATACGCGATCAAAATACACAATTTGATAGCTCTTTTTCTCTGCCTTCTTGTTAAGTGTGTTTCTCTATCCTAACTTTTATTATGATATCAATAATGATAATGCAAAAGTTACAATTTCAGCCTGTAAGAATAATAATTTATGGTTAGATGCTAAATGTTTTTAGATGATTCTAAGAGTATATTTTTTCATATTAGTTTAATACATTTAAAATTTTTCATATTAGTTTAATGCATTTAAAATTTTACTTTTAATGTTTTTTTTTTATAAGAATTAGTGTGATAGGAAGCAGATTATTAGTGTGATAGGAACATATCGGACATAAAAGGAATTAGGTGAAGTGACTGGCAAGCTTGCTTTTTACGGTTATCATATATAACATTGATAACACTAAGTCTTTTAAGATGAGACCAAAGTATTTCTTTTACAAATACTTTATTAAATTTTTCATAAGATGGATCTTGGAGGTTTATAATTTACTTTGATTATCGACTCACTTTTCTGCAATCAATGGGATTGATTAAAAATTAAATGTATTTTTAGTAAGGGATTTACACCGGCTTTCTCCCCTCCCCACTTTTTTGGCAAAGCAAGAATGGAACCTAGTGCAACTAGGTGATAGGTATGTATATATAATAATAGTAACAATTATAAACTTGTAACAAACGCTATCTTAATTCACTAGTAGAGTTTTAAATTTTAAAAAATAGAAAATGAGATAATATTTCGCTAATAGAAAATGTATAGATAATATTTCGCTAATAAACGCTATCTTAATTCTACCATTGTCCTCATGTCAGTGCATATGTCACGGACCTAAGGAAGAGTCCTGAATCTCACATCGAATATAATAGGAGGGTCATTGGGATATAAAAGGGTTCACACCATCTCTGCCTTGTGAGGCGCCTTTTGTAGGATAAAATCGTGAGGCCAGAGGGGGTTAGAGCGGACAATACCTCACAAGGGTGTAAACCGTAGCAGGAAGGCTGATCTGGGATGTCGGAATGGTGAATTTTTGGGTCCCAGAGCCGCGTGGGTTTGGAGCTTAAGTCTCGATCTGTGATAAGTGGTATCAGAGCCAACCCTAAACCGTTCGATCCACGCCAAGCACATCGAGGGAGGTAGGTAGGGTGGCCAACCTCCGTGACGAGGGCGTCACGATGTTGAGTGTGGGAGAATGTCATGGACCTAAGAAAGAGTCCTGAATCCTACATCGAACATAATAGGAGGGTCACTGGGGTATAAAAGGGTTCACACCATCTCTGTCTTGTGAGGTACCTTTTGTAGGACAAAATCATGAGGCCAGAGGGGGCCAGAGCGGACAATACCTCACAAGGGTGTGAACCGTGGTAGGAAGGCTGATTTAGGATGCCGAAAGGGTGAATTCCTGGGTTCCGGAGCCGCGCGGGTTCAGAGCTTAAGTCTCGACCCGTGACACATATACCAGGCTGATAATTCTTCAGATTTTTAGTAACATGGTACATTGATAGCCGGTTCATTTGAGAGAAGATCATTTAGTAATTTATCAAGTCCAATACCATCAACCTAAACAATAAGGTGAGATATATAGATATCTCAATTTATCTTAATCTATTTGAATTTGTTAAATGTTTACATCAACTTTTAACACTTCAATTTGAGTCTTTTTAAAAATTTTAAACTAATTTATCTAATTAATTTCATTTGAACATTGTTTTGAGGTTGACTGTTATTGGATTATTTTGCATAAATTAAGACATCTAATTCAATTTTTGGTCAATTTAAATTTAAGTCATTTGAGTTTGAAAGTTCAATGAAAATCCAAATTAATAATAAAGCCCAACTTCATTTTTTTAATTAAGATTTAATTAATTAAAAATTAATAAAAATCAAAAATCAAAAATACAAAATACAAAAAATCAAAAAATCAAAAAATCAAAAA